TGGGCGGGAGTGGGGTCCGCGCCCTAGCCTCGCGTCGCACCCGGGTTCTGCGAGCAGAACCCGCCGGCGTGCGCTGGGCCTTCGTAGGGCAGGCGCCGCTGCGTCCCGAGGGGACCACCCTCCTGGGCAGCTGCTTGGGTTGGGGGGGTGGTTCCTAACCAGCAGCTGTGGCCCAGATCTGTGCAGAGGAACTGGCCACGCTGCAGGACCACGAAGCCGGGCAGCCGCGTGGACTCCCGCGGCGCGTGCACGCCTCAGTTACTCGGGAGCTTTCCCGCCTTCCAGGCCCCCTCAGATACTACTGCCTCGCACTTCCGAAAAGGCGCTGGCCCGGGTCTCCGAAACGCGTTGCACTCTGCGTTTTCGCCACAAGGGGGCGAGCCGCGCGGGCTTGGGCCTGAGCGAAGCTGGCCTGGTTTGCGTCCCTAGTGGGGAACCGCGAGTCCTGCCTGGGAGCGCAGAAAGCCTTCCGATGATGATCCCGGGAAATGCTTGGCGTCTTTTCCCTAGTCATTCTCAGTTCTGCTTGATTGGAACTTAAAGTGTCCTTGAGCCTGGCATAGGCCATCCGCCCCAGACATGGCTTCTAGCTCGGGAGGGTGGGGACCCTTTGCAGCAGGGACCAGGTGGCAGTGCTGCGTTAATGAAAAGCAGTGCGCTGGACCGGTCCCCGGAGGCTCGGGTTCTGGCGCCAGCCCCATCTGTAATCAGCGATGCACTATCTATTTAATCGTTTTCTCCCTGCGGGGCAGATTTCTCAATAATAATAAAAGAATAGTAATTTGCATACACATTCTCATCTTGTAAAATGAAAATAAGCTTTGGTTATGCGGACCTTTGTGAAATGGATCCTTACCGCACTGTTTCAGTATTATTTTAAGCATGATGCCTCCAGAAAAACCTGGGGGTGTAGCCTGAAGAATTCTGAAAGTCTTTCTTAGCTGTAAAAAGAGAGGGAAGGAAATGTGAAATGGTCCGAGCAGGGGGATTGAGGGAGAAGTAGACAGGATTCCTAGATTCATGAGTGAGAGGTACATTTTTTTTTTACATTATTGTTTTAATAATACTCTCAAATCTTACCTCTTAGGACATTAATACTACTATTATAATTATCTTAGTTCGTTGAAAAGAAAGTTCTGTGTTATTACCTGTTTCTTTTTTGTAAGAATTTTTATGGATTAAGGCTTATCCTCCTGAGTAACTACTTTGAAGACAACTATACACAGTGTAGTAATTATTGTTACTCTCTTATTACTTGGTTATGAAGTTTTGTTTTATTTTTCCATAAAATAAAAAATAAAAAATATCTTAAGTATTAAGTGTCATATAAGGGAAAGTACTCATTACAGTGGCAGTTTAGAGGCCCCTGAAAGTAATTAGTTATCAAGTATTTATATACAGCAGTCCGCGCTCTCCATTTCTTCTGCACAATGCAAAGCATTGTCTTAAGTGCTCCTGTTGTGCTTTGTCCCTTGGCTGGCAGAAAACTCAAAATCAAATTTGCAGATCATTGTAGGAAATGGGATCCATATGACATTCAGGCCTATATTTTACCCTACTTTTTATCTTATTATATTCTACCCATGGATTTCCTATGCCTATTTTATTGCTATTTTTCTATTTTATTTTAGATACTCTTTTAAGGAACTTCAAATATTTTTATCCACCTACTGCTATTAACAAGGATCAAAATTGCTGTTAAGTGTTTGAGAAAGCAGTATATAAGATACTGGCAGCCTGCCAGCATGGTAGCAGGAAACAGTAGCATACCACAGTGCCCAGTGACTTGGATCTGTATTTTAAGCCTTGCCCGCTATTGCACATGCATCAGCAGTCTCTATGCATACCACTTTAAAGCGCCTATCAGAGGCACACTCAAGGATGTCTCCCACTGACTCATACATAACCAAACTCAATCAGTGTGCTCTACACCTACAGATATATCTTACTGGTGCAATCATTATTGGTCACGTGGTAAGGGGAAAAGGATCCATGAACTTTTATTCATTTAGGTTTCCTTTTGTTAATAAAGCCCTGAAGATTCACGAACCTCAAACTCTACAAGAAAGTGGCCATATAATTTGCCTTTTGAGATAGCTCAGGTTAACCAAAATTGGTCATTCTTCTGCTAACAGTAGGCACTTCCTGTTGATTTTGAGTTCTTTAACAATTTCCTTTTTTCTATCTCGGTCCTTCAGTTTGAGTCTTATGGGCTGAGGTCATATGTAGGACAAACACACAACAACCTTTGGTAATGAGGGTTTTCTTGATTTCAGTTCTGCTGATATTTAATATTTAATAGTCCAGCATGCTATCTATTGGATATTATCTAGCCATTTTTGTCATGGGATTTAAAATGTTGAATGAAACATGGGTTTATGAAGTGTATGTATCATAAACTTCAGTGTTTGGTTTTATATGCAGATTATTTCACCAGCTATACCTCTGAATGTAAATTCTACCCTGACTACAATACATTTCTGTTATTTTCTTTTATTCTATTTCCTGAACAGGTCAGACTCTCTCTCCCCCCACTCTCCTCTCACGCCTCTCTCTTCTCTTCCCTCCTCCGCCTCATCCCCCTCCCCCATTTTCCTGAAAGTGAAGTTTTTGAGTGAAGAGTGTCATGGGAATATACTGCCTTCTTAAAAATGGTTTCATGCCCACACATAAACCAACATCCATGGCCAGGGACATGGAAAATGTAGCTAACCTCAGCAAGTCAGCCCCCAGTTCTGGAACTAGATCCTGCCCTGCCGAAACCCATGGCTTCTTGGAGACAGAGCAAGTGTGCATGATCTGAATTTCACAAGAAGCAAGGCATGGACAAAGGACATCCACTGCCCTGTCCATTTTAGTCTTAAAATAGTGAGAAAAGGGAAACTTTAATGTACAATCATAAGGGAATTTGGCTGCAGGCTTAAAATACCATATCTACAGGTTTTTAAAAATAACATGAAAAAATTAAGTTTGATCTGAACTAAAAATATCTGGGTATAAGATTATATGATGGAGGATCATAACTTTAAAAAATGCACACAATAAAGTACATCAAAATGTTAATGCAGTAGTAGCCCACTACAGTAGTAGGGCTCCTTTCCTCTTTATGTGGTCTGGTAGTTCTAAAAAATTTAACAGTGGCCTTAATTTGAAAAAAATTAAGATTATTGAAAATGTAACTGTAATAATTAGCTCTGTTACTACCAGGTGCCATAAAAATAACCTTTGGAATATTTTGCATTTATAAAGCATTTTTCCAAATTTGATTAATTCTTCAAAGCATATTTCAAATGCCACACACTTCAAGAAAACATTTTCAGAATTATGGTGTTCTCAATGATGTACTTCATTGAGCACTGTTTGCAGCCTAAGCAGCTTTGCAGCCTCTATAGGATGTTAGGATTAAATAGACAAAAGTTGATAAAGTTGGTTGCTCATTTTATGTAACACTTGTTTATATGTTTGGTTGTATCCAAATTTATTTCAGTAGTAAAGTACCTGAGTATTATGTCCATCTGGTTGGAACATCATACAATATTCATATATCTATTTCACCCTACAAACCAGGAACAATTTTATCAGGAGAAAAATATGACTTTGTATTTCTACATAAAATATTACATTACTATCAGGGGCATATTTCCTTGAAAATAAAAAGCGATAAAATTAAGTGTTCCGAGATTTCATCAATTTTTCTCTCAGTATATGTTTGCTACAGATGTATATCTTTTTGCTATCTTATTAATAGATAAATAGTGGTAAACACTAGCAGCTTAAGGAAGATATCTAGAATAAAAATATAAAATTGAGAAAATTCTAATTACTGATTTTATCTTTTACTAATTTGTTTGTAAACCACAAAAAAGAAAAACAATTAGTAGGCTACCATTACTTGTCTTTGTTACTTTTCTTGTTCCTGAGACAAAATAACTAACACCCAAAGTTAAATGAGGAGAGGTTTATTTAGCTCACAGTACATAGAGGTTTCATTCCATAGTCAGCTGGCTCCAAGGCAGGGTGGCCTGGCAGTGGGGGCATCCCAGAGGAGAAACAGTTCATGGCAAAGCAGGGCAGAAGGCGGCAAACAACACGCAAGAGACAAGCAATGACTCTTTCTCTATCTCTTATATTCCATCCAAGCTACCCATCTTTAGGGCAGGTAGCACTCACACCTAGGGTGGGGCACCTTTAATCCTACTCAGAATTATACCAAACCAATCAGTGGACTAATTTAGTAATCACACACCCTTGATCCTAGCATCACACACTATAGATCCAGCCACTTCTGAAAAGCCCCACCTATGACCACATGAGGCTTTCAGAGGACATCTAGACACACACCATATCACTCATATTTTGGTAGACCACCTTGGTGCTGTTCCTAGGATAGCACTGATATATGAAAGCATGATTTAAAATTCTTGCTCTGTTCCTATTATCTGTTAAGTATTTTGTTCCAAGTACATTGGTACATTTCCCCAGTTAGTTCCTGAGCCCTGAATGATGAGTGCCCAAATATCAATTATATTTCCTTAGTATTTCCTCTCCCAGACATCTAGCATATTGTAGAACATATAGGAAGTACTCATCGAATATTTTCTGACTGACTGGTACATTTGCTACCTTTTCAATAACTCCATTAGATCCTTCAAGTAGATTATCAAAATGATTTGTTTATAAATTGATTTCCTTGTTTGTTACTATTTTTATTAATATTAGGAGTGTCTGTAAAAAGTTGTG